CTCCCTCTCCCTTCCTTCCTCCCTTCCTTCTTCCCTCCCTTCCTCTCTTCCTCCCCTCCAATTCTTCCTCCCTCCCTCTCCCTTCCTTCCTCCCTTCCTCCCTTCCTGTCTCCCTCTCCTCCAATCCTCCCTTCCTCCTTCCCCTCCAGTCCTCCCTCCCTCCCTCCCTCCCACCTTTCCTTCCTTCCTTGCTTCCTTTAAAAAATGCTTCAGGAACCCGAAGGTTGTTTCTGCTCCTTTTGTACATTTCTTTCTTTTTCTCCTCCTGCCTTCTCTCTCTGGGGTTGCCAAAGGTCAGCAGCATCCACTCCTTGGGGGGGGTAAGGGGGGGGTTGAGGCCGATCCTGCAAAAGGGGGTGTCCAGGGGGAAGCTCCCGAGGCTTAACCCACCCGGATGCTCTCTCGGCTGCCTAGGATGGCCTGGTCAAGTCCGACATGGAGAAGCTGACCTTCTACGCGGTCTCCGCCCCGGAGAAGCTGGACCGCATTGGCGCCTACCTGGCAGAAAGGCTGAGCCGGGATGTCATCCGCCATCGCTATGGGTGAGGCCTCTGGGCGTCCGTGGTCTGCTTCTCCAAGTGTGGCTTTTGTCATCCTCCCAGCGGGTGTGTTGCGGCTTTCAGGACCGGTCTGGATGGGAAAGCGCCTAGAAGCCCTGGAGGGTCCTTGGGGGTCTTCTAGTCCAACCCCCCCCTGCCCAAGATCATAGAAACATAGGGCTGGAAGGCACTCTAAAGGTCTTCTAGTCCAACCCCTTGCCCAAGGTCATAGAAATATAGGGCTGGAAGGGCCCTTGGATGTCTTGTAGTCCAACCCTTTGCCCAGAATCATAGAGTCATAGAAACATAGGGCTGGAAGGGCCCTTGGAGGTCTTCCAGTTCAATCCCCTGCCCAGCATCATAGAAACATAGGGCTGGAAGGGACTTTAGAGATCTTCTATCTAGTCCAACCCTCTGCCCAGGATCATAGAAACATAGGACTGGAAGGCACCTTAAAGGCCTTCTAGCCCACACACACACCCCCGCCGCCCAAGATCATAGAGTCATAGAAGCATATGGCTGGAAGGGACCTTAGAGGTCTTCTAGTCCAACCCTCTGCCCAGAGTCATAGAAACATAGGGCTGGAAGGGACCTTGGAGGTCTTCNCCTGGGAACCGGGACCCTGCGCGTGTTTCGGTAGGTGACACGTCTCCTCTTCGGCTGAAGACCTTGACGGGAGACCAGCTTCTTCCAAAGTCAGGAGAGCAGCAATGCTACACAAGGGCTGAGTTTGTGCAGTTTCCTGGTTGTGAGTTTTGTGGCTGTGCGAGAAGCAGCTAACCTGTTGGCAGTCTGGAAGATAGTGAGGGTTTTAATCCCATGGACTGGGAGGGTGGGAAACGATGGCCCCTTGACGACCTGTGGACTTCAACTCCCAGAATTCCTATGGCTGGCTCAGGAATTCTGGGAGTTGAAGTCCACAGGTCGTCAAGGGGCCATCGTTGCCAGCCCTGTCCAGATAAGCAATGGGGCAGGAATGGGGGAGAGAAGGCATAACACCAAGTGGAGGACAACCGGATTTATTATTTGCCCGAAGTCTTCAAAAACCAGCTTGCTCATTTGCACAAAAAAATAAATAAATTGGTTTATGTTTTTTGCAATGTCTGATTAAAAAAAATATGAACGAGAGTTTTATACTTCCACAATCGCTTCGTTCTGGCTAACGAACCTAAGAGCGTGAAATTCCCCCCCAGAACTTCTTCCTCTCCCATCCTGCATTGTGAAAAAATCTTATTGTAACAGAAAGGTAGGTTTTGATGGTGCAAAGAGCCCCGGGCATCCCTGCAGGAGAGATGCTCCAATATAGTGGAAACAGCTTCTTCTAGGATATTGGGGCATTCGCTCTGGGCTTAAAAGAATCTTCGCTTTTTTTCCTGAGACTGCATTATTATTATTATGGATCATCGCACAGTCAGCCAGATGTTCAGACTGGATTTGGCATTTTTGTCTACCTATCGAGTCCTTCCCAAGGACCTGGGATAGGCAGATGTGGATGTTTGATGGTATTACAGATCTCGTCGCAGGATGGAAGCAGTTCCTAGTAAGGCTGCCTTTTGCAATTGACTAATGGCGAATTTGTCAATGCCGATGATGGTGTTCAAGTGGTGCTCCAGTTGTTTTGCGATGGCACCCAAGGCGCCTATTACTATTGATACTACCCTTGCTTGCTTTTGCCACAGTTTCTCTATTTCTATTTGTAGGTCTTTGTATTTTGTGATCTTCTCCAGTTCTTTCTCGTCTATTCTGCTGTCTCCAGGCACTGCCACGTCCACTATCCAGACTTTTTTTTGTCTTTCTTATCGACAATTGTTAAGTCCAGAGTGTTATGTTGCAGGTGCTTGTCTGTTTGAATTCTGAAGTCCCAGAGCAGTTTAATTTTATAATTTTCTATGACTTTATTTTATGATCCCACCAGTTCTGGCTTACTGGCAAATGATATTTCTTGCAGATCTTCCAATGCATCATTGTTGCTACTTTATTATTATTATTATTATTATTATTATTATTATTATTATTATTATTATTATTATTATTACTACTACTACTACTACTACTACTACTACTATTATTATTATTTATTATTATTATTATTATTATTATTATTATTATTATTATTATTATTATTATTATTATTATTATTATTATTATTATACTTTTATTCATTAGACGTGAACCTCAGTCAATTGAACATTCAAATTGGCTGGCGCTGATGGTTGACACGGGTTGCTACCAGCATCCTAGGTGTCAACCAGGTACCTCCTTAAAATATAAGATGTTCCAAGTAGCGCAGTTTTTTTGTAACATTGCTGGAGTTATTGCAGGAAGCTGCAGTTTCTTGATGCATTTTGCAAAGTTTTTGGACATAGTTCCCAGTGCCCCGATGACAATGGGTGTCGCTGTTACATGTTTCATCCACAATCGCGCAGTTTCGATGGCCAGGTCGCGATATTTCGTCGTTTTTGCCAGTTCTTTTTCTTCGACTCTGGCATCTCCTGGTACGGCGATATCAATCAGCTGTGCAGTTCTCTACAACTGTAATATCCGGCGTGTTGTGTTCCAAATGGCTATATCTGTCTGTATTCGATTTACAATGGCTGAATTTTTGGGGGAGGGAGTTGAGAAACGTCCTGCAGTTATTTTCTCCTTTGCAAGTTCATCAACAGATGCTTTGATTTCTTGAGAATGAAGAAGCAGTTTTGGCGGTTAGCGTAAAGCGAAGGTCCCCAACCTTTTGGGCACCAGGGACCGCTTCTGCGGAAAAAGGTTTTTCCATGGACTGGAGTGTGTGTGGTTTTGCGTGCTTCCTGCATCCAATGGATGAGGCTTTGCTTGTTTGTGTGGCATGCCACAGACTGGTGCCAGTCCACCGACCGGGGGTTGGGAACCCCTGGTGTAAAGAGCTCCAGTTTTTCTTTAAAACAAAACAAAACACTTTATTTGATCTGTGCTACCACAATAGTTGCCAGGGAATTGAGTTATTAGTGTGAGGCACATCTGGAGACAGCTGTTAGACACGCTGAAATGCAGCTGCCGTGGGCCAGGCATGCAATTTTATTGCCGTCCTTAGGAATGTTCACGCATCTTTTATCTTAGGAATATCTGTTATCAAGCAGAGTTTGGTGTGACTTTCTGGAAAGGCTTCTGCTTTGAAGGCGACTCTGAGGAACAAATAGGTTGCTGAACTCATTTGGGATTTTTCTGGACAGCCTCTAGTCTGAGATGGTATAGGTTCTCCTGCTGGAGTGGGGGCTGGACTAGAAGACCTCCAAGGTCCCTTCCAGCTTCTATATCCTATCCTATTCTATCCTATCCTGTTCCATCCTATCCTATCCTATTCTTCATCTATTCTATTCTATTCTATTCTATTCCATTCCATTCCATTCCATTCCACTCCACTCCACTCCACTCCACTCCACTCCACTCCACTCTACTCCATTACATTCTTCCACTCCATATATTCTACTCTACTCTACTCTACTCTACTCTACTCTACTCTACTCTACTCTACTCTACTCTACTCTACTCTACTCTACTCTATACTCTACTCTACTCCATTCTTCCACTCCACTCCATATATTCTATTCTATTCTATTCTATTCTATTCTATTCTATTCTATTCTATTCTATTCTATTCTATTCTATTCCATATTCTATATTCCATATTCCATATTCTATATTCTATATTCTATATTCTATATTCTACTCTACTCTACTCTACTCTTTTATTCCTGGTTGACTAGATACCCTTTGAACGTCTGCACATTTTTCCCACAGGGTCTTTCACTCTGAGTGCGGCGTTTAGAGAAAGAATTCCTTGATTTCCCGGGGGCTTCCCAATTGACGCATTCTGTCCACTGCCAGGATTAGATTCTCATTCTCTGTGGTGATTTAGGGCTCCATCTACACGTTCACAAGTAATCCTCGACTTAACCATTCATTTAGTGACCATTTAAGTTACGATGGCGTTAAAAGAAGTGACTTATGGCTGCTTTTCATGACTTACAGCCCTTGCAGCCTCCCCAGGGCCACGTGATCAAAATTCAGACACTTGGCAACTGATTCGTATTTATGACGGTCGCGGCATCCCGGGGGGGGGGTGTCACGTGATCCCCTTTTGCGTCAATGGGGGAAGCCAGACTCACTTAACAACCCGTGTTAGTAACTTAACAAGGGCCGTGATTCACTTAACAACTGTGGCAAGACGGGTCGTAAAACGAAAATCACTGAACAGGGGGAGAGTCAGCCAAGCCTCGCGGGGCGGTGTATATAAGTCTAAATGCTAACGCGATTGTTGCTATTAACAACTGTTAACCAAACTCACTTAACCGCCCTCTGAGAAACTTTGGCCTCTGTCGCTGTCACAAGTCGAGGACAGCCTGGGTGCTGCTGCCACACATTGTCCGACTGACGCCACGGAAAGCAAGCGTGAAGTTGACCTCGCTCTCCCTTCGGCTGCGGCCCTTCCCTGCCGGAAAGCGGTTGCAATCCCCAGTGTGTTGTGGCTCCGTCTTGTGAGCCCCTCTTATCGGAGGAAGAAGGCTCCGAACATGAAGGAGAGGAGGTGGCCAGGCCTCCCTCTCCAGGACCCTCCTCTCTGGCAAGGCCTCAGGTGTCTCCCGACGGAGAAGAGATTGACCAGGAGCCAGGTGGTTCTCAGATTGGCCAGGAGCCAGGTGTTTCTGAGATTGGTCAGGAGCCAGGTGTGTCGGATAGTGAGGAAGAGAAGTTGTGGCTGGATCCACGCCAGCGTAGGAGCGACAAGCGTGCGCAGCAGAAAAGGAGACGTGCCAGAGATTAAGCTGAGTCACTGGACCACACCCCACAGGCTATAAAAGGGAGGTGGTGGCCATTTGGACCTCTGTGACGGACAAAAGCTGAATCTCTGGCGAAGTAGTGTGCTGTGGCTTTAAACTGTGTGTATTGTTTTTGTTTCTGGGTGTTTGGAGATAAAAGGTCTTGGCAGGCAGCTACGGAGCTGCTGCCAAGTTTCTTATCTGTGAAGTGGTGTCTGGAGAAGCCTTTAACCCTCTGCTGGCTGTTTGGGTGTGTGGGTCAGAACGGGGACAGAACACAGTGGTTGCCCAACAGCCATTTCACTGCCTGGGGAGACTTGAGGGGGGGGTGATGCCAAGCAAGGTGGCACCCCTTTCTGCACCCCGTAAACGTGCAAAGGGCAGAGCTCCCCTCTGTGTTGCAGAAGAAAAATGCACGGACGTCTCTTTCCCTCCTCCTCCTCCTCACGGCCCTTTTCTTCCCCCCCCCCCTTTGCAGGCGTCTGCTGCTGCTGCGCGGCCCTGCGCCCGCGATACAAGCGCCTGGTGGACAACATATTCCCCGAGGACCCCAAAGTAAGTGGAGGAGCCCTCCCGGCGGCCCCCCGATTGGCGGGCTCTGGCGCTGGGCCGCTCCGACGTGGCGGGGGAAGCCTCTGCGCATTGGCGGAGATCGGCACGGCTCTCTTTCTCTCTTTTTTATTTGAGGGGTTGGTTCTCAGGTGGGTGCTCTGGGTGGTTCCCTTGGCTCGGTCTCCGCGTGGGGGGAGCATGGGCCGTCTGCCCCCCCTCCCCCGCGGGGGCTTTGGTTGGGCGGAACGGCCGTCTTTCTTTTTTTTAAAGGCCAGCTGTACAAGCGCCTCGGCCTTTGAGAGTCCATTCTGACGTGCTCAGGGTTAAGAAGCAGGTTTTCTCTTCTGCTCGAACACAGGAGCCTTGAAGGGTTCTTTAGAAGAGGTGGCAGACCTAAGCATGGGTCCTTCCTTCCTTCCTTCCTTCCTTCCTTCCTTCCTTCCTTCCTTCCTTCCTTCCTTCCTTCCTTCC